ATACATTGTTTATATTACGTTGAAATATTAAAGTTTTGCAGCTTTACTGAGACCTGTATTTTTCATTTGGGCTCCGGTGTTTGTTCCAGGATTTTACATAGTTAAACAATTTAAGACTACAGAAACACCAGATAGCTACCATGAGCTGTCCCGCCAAGAACAGGTGACTATCTTCCGACTAAGAACCCAACACACAAGACTGAGACAACATATGTACAGATGTTTTAAACTTGCACAACCACCAAAATGCCAGTGTGGAGAGGCGGACCAAACTGTTGAACACATCCTTCAGCACTGCAAGACACACAGGGCCCCGAGACAGGAAACGTGGCAACCCCACTGACACTACAAGAGAAGGTATACGGGCCGACAGATGGACTGAGCAGGACGGCCCAATTTATGACAGATACCAGACTTCAAGTGAAATGCGATCGAGAAGAAGAAGAAGACTACAGAAGAAAATTAATCAGGTGGAGTCCGAAACCATAGTTCTTTGCTTCAGATTCTTACAACACCACATAATAATGACATAAAAATGGAGTTTATCTAAAATAACTACAAGATGAATAATAAATGAATATTTCGACAGCAGAACAAACATAAAAATTCTCTATGTGAAAGAAACAAAAAGCCCTGGATCTAAATGTTCAAATAGTAGGAAAATAATAATGACACCACGAGTTTCTTTCCCCTATAGTCTTCAAATTAAAAAATACGAGAGGTATATGAAAAGTTTTTTAACTAAACATGAAGGAACAAAGGTAGAAAGCTGAAATTTGGTACTGACCTAGTTTCTCTGCTCAAACGTTTGGCAGTCACCTGCCTATCAGACTACACAAGTTTCTTGATTTTCAACACATTCTCTTCTGTTGTTTCTGTCACTGGGCGACCATCACGGTGGTCATCTTCAATGTCAATGTTTCTGTATTTCAATTTTTTACACCAAAATTTTATCACAGCATAGGATGGGTAATCAGATCCATATACGGCATGCATCTCCGTAAAAATTTCCTGTAGTTACTTGCCTTGCAAGAACAAAATCTTCTTTACTGCCCTGTGCTCATTTTTTCCTTTTTTGGATTGAAACTGGAGAACATCATACCCCCATTCACTAACAGTGCGCTGGTATTAAAACCGGTAATCAGAAATTCCCCAAAATGTACATGCATTATATAAAAATGATTGTAGGCTTTCACCCCAAATTTCAGCTTTTTTACCTTTATTCCTTTCTGGATCGATAACAACATAAGAACACTTTATTCCCTCATGGTCAGGTAAAAAAGAAACCATCTCCTTCATGGTCAGGTAGAAAAAACATTTGGTATCATCATCATCCAGTGCCAGATATGCGACAGATCTGCGACAGACATCGGCGATCATGGTTCTCCCTTCATTCCTTTGCTCGGATGTTCTAAAAAAAAGCTACGTTTCCCTGATCTTTCCCTGTTATCCATTTGTTTAGGTTCCCAAAGTAGGTTGTTCTGGGCCTACCCCTGCCTCGTTTGCCTTCAATTTTTCCAGTGAGAGCTAGATGTTCAAGACCCTTATGTCTATTCAGGTGTACCAAAAACTGCTTTAAAAATTTGTTGTTTCCTGATTGTTTTCAACATTGAACGTCTCACGTGGGTTTCATCAAGCACTATCTCATTTGATTTCTTTTCCTTCCACGATACTCCTAGCAGTCTCCTAAGAAACCACACTTCTGTTGCTTCTTTTTATTTCCACTGTCTTTAGTGATTGTCCAGCATTCACAGCCATATAGAAGGGTTGACCCCACACATCATTTCAGAACTTTCATTTTGGTGGTCATTGAGATGTTTCTATATTCCTTTCCCTCATGCCAGGTGGTATGAGTCTGGAGGGTCTGACGGTGGAGGACTGTGTGGCCGATGGTGTGATGGTGGACTGTAGCCAGGAGGCTTCCAAAGACAACCAGTATCTCGTACCTTTACAGGTGGGTTTTTTGTGTTTTTGTTTTTTGTTGGGGGTTTTTTTTGGTAAGTGTTTTACGGCGCTCGCAACCGCATAAGGTCATATTATAAGCGCACTGGACACATTAAACATTTTCAGCTGGTCGGAAATTTGAATTTTGCCCGGGTGGCGGCCGAAGCCTGCTCTTTCCGATTTTAGACCACAAAGGGACCTTTAACGTGTTTAGCTTGCACACGGGACCTCCGAGATTTTCGTCCTTGTCCGAGACGGCTAGGTGTAGATCTTTCCTTCCATAAGATCAGGGGTGTGACGTAGGGTGTGAAGGAGCCAAGGAGAAGCAACGGAAAGGCTGCAGAAAGAATCAGGAGCCCAGAGGAGAGTGCAAAGGAGGTTGGGGGGGGGGGCATAAAGTGGAGACGAAAGCAGACGACATAACATTGATACAGAGCAGGAAAGAAGGTAAAAGGAGTCAATTTTAGAAAAGAAAAATGTTCCGTCGCTACCCGGATTCGAACGCGGGACTTTTGAATGAGAGGCCTACACCTTAACGTCTGGGCCCCAGAAAGCGACCTTTTTTCAGGACAATGGGAACAAACGTTTCATTCTTTTAAAATTGCCCCCAAATTATAAATCTTTTCTTACTTTCTTTTTCAACGTTTAGAAGAAGAAGAAGAAGAAGAAGAAGAATCTCGTTGCTGAATGTATCTATTCCTCTCGCACCCAAACCCCCCCCCCCCTCCCCCAACACCCCTTTCACCCCTCCTAACACTCCTTCACTTACCCTTAAACTCACTATTTTGCTAAAATACTCAATCCCATCTCTCTCTCTCTCTCTCTCTCTCTCTCTCTCTCTCTCTCTCTCTCTCTCTCTCTCTCTCTCTCTCTCTCTCTCTTACTGTCTCATTATTATCACCTATTCCCTGCCCACTTATCCCGTCCTCCTTCTCTTATTACTCAATTTATTTAATTCGTCTAAATTTAACTTATTCTATTCCAGAAACTCTTGGACTGGGAAAAGGAACACGGCCGTATCCCTGACAACGCTGCTGTTGTCTTCAACTTTGACTGGTCCAAGAAATTTGTTCGTCCCAAGGAGTACACGGGCTCCAAAGATATAGGTGAGGCCGCGTGATGAAATCAGGCGCTCGTCAAAATAATGAAATTGAAGAAAACGACTTTTTTTCCCCTTTTGGCAATTTTTATCGAGTTTTTCGTTTTTGGCTCAGTACTTTATATGTCCATTTAAAACAATTTATTGTGTGACTTTTACTCTAAAACGTTGATTAAAGACACAAATTTGTAAATTTACAATTTCCAAGGACTCTCTAGCTTTAGAAGTCACCAAACTTTGGCGGCCATTTTCTCGCTAATTTTACCTTTGAAACCGGGCAACCCACACTTGCTTCCATCGAGAATATCCCAACTTGTATTCAAGATAAATTGATATTTTTTAACTTGAAAGGAAGAAAAATAAAACAAGCTTTAAGATGGTACCAAAAACTCCGTGTGCCCCAAAATTGACGAACGCCTGATTCCACCATGCTACCTCACACAGGAGACCTCTTCAGTTTCAAGTTCCCGGCAGTGAGCGAAGAAGCCGGGATGTGGCTCAGGGAGGAGAGGAACATCAAGATGATCGCCACGGACACTCTGACCCCCGACCCCCTGGCAGGCTATAAGAAGCAGCCAATCCACATGAAGTACTTGAAGGAGAAACGCCTCATCTTAGAGAACCTTAAGGTAATTAAGGACACAGCCATACCAGAGACCTACCACGTCGTTAGATCTCTGGTCATACTTAGATTGTTTGGCGCTCATATGACCTTATGCAGTTGCGAGAGCCGTAAAACCTCTACAAAAAACATACTTAGATTGTGGGTGGTTGTCGGGTTCTCTGGTGTGGTTTGCTTCTTCTTTCCTGTGAAACATCTATCGTCCTTATCTCTCCTTCTTCTTTTTGATGTTTGTTACTCTCTTGTTACACCTCTAATCTTCTGGCGCTCATATGACCTTATGCAGTTGCGGGCGTCATAAAACTTCTACTAAAACTATAAAACTTAGATTGGACGTTTGAAGGTTGCTCCTGTTATGTTCACCGTGGTGTTTTGATAAGGCGGGTTGCTATTGTTGATGATGTTGTTGTTGTTGTTGGTGGTGGTGGTGGTGGTGGTGGTGGTGATGTTGGTGTTTTCATTATCCCTGTTGTTTTATTTATCACCAGCACGTCTTTTAATCGCTAATACTAATAGATTCATTATTGCTAATCATTCTTCTTCCTTATTATTAGTATTAATATTTATTACTATTGTTATTTATTATTATTATTATTATTATTATTATTATTCTTATTATTATTCTTCTTATTTATTTGTTTTTATTACCATCGTTACTGCTATCATTATTATCATTATCATTATTATTATTATTGTTATTATTATTATTATTATTATTATTATTATTATTGGGGGGGGTTGTTTTGTTTTATTAACATTAGTATTTTTCTAAAAAATATTGTTATTATTATTATTATTATTATTATTATTATTATTATTATTATTATTATTATTATTATTATTATCATTATTATTATTAGTAGTAGTATTATTATCATTGGTAGTATTATTATTAGTAGTATTATTAATATTGCCATTACAGCATAATTGTTACTATTAATGTTCTATCATCATCTTTATAATTATCGATGTTGTTCTTATTCTAACCGTTATAGTTGGAATTATTGGTATTTTTTGGGTCGAATTTCTATTATCTTTGTTAAAACTATTACACTATCAATATGATACTATAATTAATTGTTGTCATTTAAAAAAAAAAAAAAAGT